CCTTGGCCCTGACACTGCTGCCCCTCCTGTGACTGCAGTTGCACGAGACTTCCTAAGAAGTCCGAGCCCCCAAACCAAGAGGAATGGGCATACAAGGGTTTTTTTTTCAAACTTTAATTATGAAAAAGAGGTATAGGTCGTTGGGACGGGGAACCAGCCCCAAACCGGCTGGGGCAGGGGGAGGCTGGACCCCAATGGGGGATTAGCAGCATGGGTGGACCCCAGGCCCCACCACAGATGCCCCTGCCCTCCCCATGGAGAGGGTAAATAACTTAAATAGCAGTGTCCTTGGGAGGGGCAGAGGCAGCTCCCCACATGCAGTGGTGCAGCTGAGCCAGGCAAGAGCAGCCCAAGGCCAGGGGAGATCACAAGACGCCCCGAGGCTGCTGCAGGGCAGTGAGGTACTTGAGGGCAGTGGCCCCATAGCGGCGGGACAGGTCCTGGTGGAATTCCTCCTTCAGGGCCCGCAAGCAGTCGCGGTAGGCGAGGCTGGAGCGGAAGCGGGAGATGTCCAGGCTGGGCGCATGGGGCATGTGGATGGTAAAGGCTTCCGGCAGGACCAGGAACTCATATTCCTGCGGGGCGGGGCGGCAGGGGGACAGTCCCGACTGTGCTGGAGAGCCCCCACTCCAGCGCCCTACAACAGCGACTGTCGCGGGGGTGCCGCGCTGCTTCCTGCCCCCCCTCCCCCCCCAAGGCAGAGAGGCGGCCCTTCACCTGAGCATCCAGCTCCTCGATGTGGGCCACCTTGTTCCAGCCAAAGCCCACAAAGCGGGCGTCGTAGCGGGGACAGTCACGCGGCAGCACCACGTACGGCTCGTAGTCCGCTGCCCACTGTACTGGGTACGGGGCCTGCGCCTCCCTCCAGCGGGCGTAGTCCGTGGGCGCGTGACCCCGGGGCCACACATCGTACCTGTGGCGCAGGATAGGGTAAGGAGCTGGGGGGCACATGTGGGAAGCATGCCTGCAGGACACGTGCCCCTACCTGAAGGTGAAGAGGGTGCCGGCGTCCAGCAGGGCCAGCAGCTCGGCCTTGGAAGTAGGGAAGCGGAGGCGGTAGTGCAGGCTCTCGAAGGCCGGCACCACCAGGGCCACCTTCCGCCGGCTCTCTAGCTCCAGCTGCTCGAGGGAGGCCCTGGGAGGAGGCGTTGTCATGAACACGAGGGGAACCCCCTCCAGTGCTGGGTGCCCCAGCTCCGCCTTAACTTGGTCTGGAGCCCTTCCCTGGGGAGTCTTGGCTCATCTCACCCCAAGGCCCCGTGGGGGGCTCCAACAAGCAGAGGTGCCCTGTGAAACAGGCCCTAGTGACCCCCAACTCTCCCAAGGCAGCCCCGAGAAAGTGCTTGACCCTCTCTCCCCACCTGAGGTAGTCGTAGAGGGAGTAGACCGGCATGAAGTCAATGTCGCTGAGGAAGACGTGGGACGTGAGGGCCTGGGCCAAGGCCACGTTGCGCAGATGGTTGACGGGGTAGAGGGGCCCCTCTCGGTACACCAAGTGGTAGGCCACGTTGCGCCGCGCCGAGAGCACCGGCGAGCCCTCCACGAAGCGCAGAAACTGCTGGGCCTCGGCGTCGGTCAGGTACAGGGCCAGGCTCATGGGGCCCGGCCAGTGGCTGCACAGGGCTTCCAGCATCTGCAACCTGGGGCCAGGCAGCTGGTCTGGCAACCCTTCCCCAGCTCCCTCGGCTCCTGCAGAACCCCAGACGGCTCCTGCGAAGCTGGGTCTTCCCAACTACCCCGCCAGATGGGTACAATGCCCTTACAGGTAAGACTTGGGGCCAGAGCCCCTAAGCCTGGCCCACAGTCCCTGGCTCCCAACGCATGCGCACTTCTGGGCATCTGAACAGCTCTGCAGCCCATGTCTCTGTCTCCAGTTCCTGGGACCCCTTGAGGGACAGGCCTGGCAGGGAGCCCGCCCTCCCAAGTAGCCCATGCTGTGTGCCCTCACCGGTCCATGGAGAGCTGGGCCACCAGGGTGACGTCGTGGCGCCTGGGTGGCGGCAGCTCAAAAGGCAGGAAGGTGAGGTGCACGCGGGTCCTGGTGAGCCGCTGCTGCTGGAACTCAAAGCAGGCTGCGTCCTCATCCAGCTGTGCCAGGGCGAGCTGCAGCTGGGAGAGGGGCAGGCAGGCACGTGCCCTGAGAGGCGACTAGGGCCTGCTGGAGCAGGGGGAAGGGGAGTGGGCTCCGCCTTACCTGCTCAGCCTGAGGTGGGGCCTGGCTCGGGCACCCGAATAGTTCCCTCCGCAGCAGGTTTCCATCGTACTCCAGGAAGGTCAGGTGGAGGTTGCGGAAGAATTCCACATGCTTGTTTTTCACCCGGAACTTCTTTGGCGAGTTCCAGTGGATCACCTGGGATGGAGTGTGTGTGTGTGTGTGTGTGTGGGGGGGGGGGTTTGCCCGTGAGAAGGTGGGGGCTTTCCCCTCCCCACCGTCCCTCTCCCTGCCCCCCACCTTCAAGTCTGACGCCTCAGAGTAGCAGTGCTCAGCCAGCGTGTGGTCAGACAGCTGCACGTTCCAGGTGCAGGGCAGCAGCAGCACCAGCCCTGGATGATCCTTGAGGACAGCATTGAAGATGTCCTGGGCAGGGACAGCTGTCACATGTCGGGCCCCAGGCCTGCCCCCACCCTCCCAAGGGTTCCTTCCTGCAGACCTGGTCAGCCAGAGAGGTGGCCGACAGGGTGAGGAGCACTCCTCTCGCGGTTGCCTTCCACATCTGCTCCCAGCCAGCCTGCCGAAGCCGGTCCAGTCTCAGGAGGATGACACCTGCAGCCAAGAGTGGTGGTCACGGGGGTCGGGGACCTCGGTGAGCTCTGAAATGCCCATCTGGTACCTGACCACTGACTGGTATTGTCTAACCTTGTAGATGGGAGCTGTACTACTTCTGTAAAGTATCAGTCTTCCCGAGGGCGAGGGTAGCCTCTCCCCAGCCATCGTCTTGTGCTCAGTGAGCCCCAGGCTGGTAAAATCCTCCCCCCGCCCCCCCAGCACACCTCCAGTTAGTCAGTAGATAAGGGAAGCAGAGGCTCAGGGGCCCTAAGCCACTGGGCAGAGAGGTCTGCGGCCATGTGGTTGGCACTGGTTTCTAGCTATCTATTCAGTGTTCTTTCCACAATATTATCCTGTCACGCTGCACCTCCAGGGCCAAGGACCAGTAGCCCATCCTCCAGGGCCAAGGACCAGTAGCCCATCCTCCCACCTACTCCCTGCCACTACCCTCACCTGTGTTAAACCCCCGGCCCAAAGCGGGCCAGGGCCTGTGGTTCTTCCAGAGGTTGCCCAGGTACCAGTCACTCTGGTTCTCCACAAGACCAATCATCTGCTTATCTAGGAGGGGAGGGTGTGAGAAGGGCTGCCTGAGGCTGCTGCGGGACCATGGCGGAGTGCTCCCGGCCAGGCAGGGGGGGCGGGGGTGGCGGCGGTCCAGGCCTCTCACCAGAAAAGTGAGCAAAAAATGCCCAGAGCTCCGCGATGTCAGAAGCGAAGGTGACGTCTGTGTCGAGGACAATGACCCGGGCCAGGTCAGAGGGCAGGGCACTGGGCAGCACTAGTTTCAAGAGCCCATAGAGGCCGGAGTAGTGGGTGTTGGGGATCCAGGAGACCTGGGACTGCAGGGTAAGGTTGGCAGAGGTGTAGGATTGAGAGCTGGGATGCAGTCGAGGGAGGGGGGTGCAGAGTAGGAGGCAGGGGCATCCCCAAGGGTGACTGCCTAGGGAGGATGGCGAGGTGTGGGAAAGACCCTTCGGGAGACAGGGAGAAGGCTCAGGGACCTGCCTGGAACTCGTCAGCGTTGTAGAAGCTGACTCGGATGGCAGGTACCATCCAAGTGTGGAAGAGTGTCTCCAGGATGTTCCTGGCCACGGAGTCCGTCACCAAGTGGAGGTGCAGGGGGTTTCTCCTTCAAGGGGCCAGGGAGGAAGCTTTGAGGGCTCAACAGAACAGCCCAGGGCAGCTGCCCCTGGGGGGCCAAGTCTGCAGAGCTGGCCCATCCCCAGCTCCACACAGCCCCACCCCCACTCTCCAAAGGCAGAGGACACTGTCCTCCTGTCGCAGAGGGGAAAACTGCGGCTCCGAGAGACACTGACGCTTGCCTAAGACACTGTGCCTCTTCCCCTCCCCTCCCCACCTCCAGACACCAGGCCGTGCCCCCACTTCCCCCACAGACACCAGGCCATACCTGTAGAAGAGTAGGGATTTGACCAGGGTGACAACATCCCGGCTGGAATTATAGCCTGCACATACGATGGCCACATGCAAAAGCTGGGGAGGGCATACCGAGGCCAGCATTGGTCCCCTGCCCCTAGTAAACTGTGAGGACCCCTAGGTGACCAGCCTGGCTTAGGGCTACAGTAGCCCCACTGCAAGGAGCCAGGGAAGAAGGGGGAGGGGCAGGAGATCATTTCACAAATCGTAAACTGAGGCCGGGGGCAGACCAGGTGCAAACCTGAGGCTCCTCCAGCTGGCTGGTTCCAGCTGACGCCAGGTGTTAGTATACCCAGATGGACGGGCTCAGGGCGCCCCGAGGGGCTCCTGCCACCCACCAGGTGCGCTCGGCCAGCACCTACCTCGCACTTGGGCAACAGCGACCGCAGTGGGACACAGGCCGAGTGGTTGTGGTCCCACGGCAGGGCTCCGTCTAGCACCGCAGGCCCTCGCAGTCGCCCGTCTGGGGGGACACGTGGCGTCAGTGAACAGGTCAGGGCCCCGGTCCCCGCCCGCCCCCCCACGCGCAACGCTCACAGTCCAGGTCCGGGCCGAGCAGGTAGAAGCCGAGCAGCAGCAGCAGCAACAGTAGCAGCGCGGCGGCCCCCAGCGCCCGGGGGCGCCCTCGGGGCAGCATGGCCGCCTGCAAGGGCGCTCTGGGCGGGGTGCGCCCCCCCGGGCTGCGGGCTCCAGCACAGGCCCTCGGGAGCCGGCGGGGAAAGCCGGGGCCAGCCCTGTGCGGCGGGGCCCGACGGCCGCCCGTCCTCGCCTCCGCGCCGCCGCCTCGCCACCCTCACCTGCTCCTGCGGCCCGGCTGGCCCAGCGGTCGCTCCGCGAGTCCCGCGAGGTGCGAGCAGGGGGCCCGAGACGCTGGCCCGCCTAGTCCCTGGGAGCCGGCCCCGCCCCCAACCTGGGCTCAGGTTTCACCTCGCTGGGCCCAGCCCGCAGGGGCGGGGAGACCCCTGAGGCCTGGCCCTGCCCCTGCCGGTTGCCGGCCCCTCCCCTCTCCTGGAGGGAACCGGGGCAGCCCCTGTCCGGGGTGAGACGCCCACTAATATTGGGGAGGTGGCTGCGGCAAGTCCCGGGCCCCGTTACCTTGGCTCGAGCTCCCCCCCCCCCCCATCCCGGCTCTGGGGCCCGGTCTCCTCCCCTTCCCCGCCGCTGAGGGAGGGGCCCCTGACCCCTGCCTGGGATCAAAGGGCCCGGCGAGCGCAGCAGGCTCAGGGGGATAGGCTGGAATGCGAGCCTCGGGGGTCCTGAGCACCTGCTCTGAGGACAGGGGGCGGGGCTGGCCCAGACTTGTCCCGGAGCCGCCCTACACCTGGAGTGGAGCCCCCGCCCTGCGCCCAGGTGGCCCGGCCAGCACAAAGCGGCCCTGTGAAGCAGCGGTGAAGGTCGCCCCCCGGCCCGGAACCGGCTTGGGGCCTCCCATCCGTGGGCGGCCGGGCCGAGACTGCCTGGGTCACTCTCCCGGCCCTCCGCTCGCACCCGCAGCAGGCCCCAGCGTCGCCTCTGGCTGGTGGGCGCTCTGGACCGTGAACAAGAACAACGACGGCCGGACGGAGTGATGCCTGCTCCGTGCCCGGCCCCGGGCCAAGGGTTAGACCCGCCACCCCTCAGTTAATCCCTTGAAGTGACAAGGCCACTCTGGTCCTGGCTGTCTCAGGCCATCCCCTCCTTGTCCCCTCAGATAAGTGTGGTTAATCTTAAACCCTATACTGGTGCCGAAGGAACCCGGGAGGTGTAGCGGTACTCACGGGGCTATTAATCCGCTAGGTCGTCGGTTTGAAACCACCAGCCCCAACCGCTCCTCGGGAGGAAGACGGAACTTTCCACTCCCACGAAGAGTTGCCGTCTCCGGAAGTCACGGGTGCAGTTCTGCCCTGTGCTGCGTCAGTAGGCATCGACTGGATGGCAGTGAGGGCTTTATACAGGTACCTGCGGTGCTAACCCATTTGGGGAGGGCTTTGTTAAGGTCGATGTTTTAAACCTTTAAGCCTTGGAGATGTTAAAAGAGTAAATTGGGGCACAGAGGTTAGTGGAGAGGGGGGGTTAGGGGGAAACTCCCAAGTCCTAGAAAGCTCACTGAGGAATAAGCCCAGAGCAGATAGAGAAAGCCTTCTAGGCCGGCACCCTGGATTCAGACTCCCAGCCTCCTAAAGCGTGAGAAAGTAAGTTTCTGTTTGTTAAAGCTACCCACGTGTGGCCTGTTTGTGATAGCAGCACAGGATTCCGAGAAGGGCCCGCCTGTGGTGGTGTGGTGCATCCAGCTGATTCTCCATAAGGTCACTATTCCAAACCGCCAGTGGTTCTACACTTCTCAAGAGTCCTGCTTTGGAAATCCGCGGGAGCCTCCAGAGGCCCTGTAAGGTCACTCCTAGGAGTCGGAGTGCGAATCCACTTGAAGGCAGGGGCTTGGGTCTTGAAGACAACCAACAAGCTCTCTTGCCCTGCCATCCCTCCACAAGGCTGAAAAGCCTTCTGCCAGCCTCCTCCTCCGGCTCCTCCTTAAGCGCTTCTTGACCTGGGACTTGCCTTTGACACACCTTCTTCCAGGATTGCATACCCTGAGGACTTTGGCGGAACCGGTGACTTCCTGTGTCTCTCTTCCTAGGGGTATTTTCTTCCACATCAGTGTATCACCATCTGAATTAGTAATTGTTTGTTGCCTGGCTGGTTCCAAGAATTAAGCTGCACTGGATGGAGGTGGGGGTGGGGTGAGGGTGGGGACAAGGACTATCTCTTTGGTTGTGCACTGAGTCCCCAGCGGCCAGCAGGACCGGGTGCTCAGGAAATGCGTGTGATGGGAATGGGTGGCTGCCCAGACTTGGGTCGGCCTGGGGTGGGGGACTTGAAACCGGACTGGTCACCAGTCTTTCCTCTAACCCAGGGGTCCTCAAACTTTTTAAACGGGGCCAGTTCAGGTCCCTCAGACCCGTTGGAGGGCCGGACTGCAGTCTAAAAAAGAGCTATGAACAAATTCCTATGCATACTGCACATATCTTATTTTGAAGTAAAAAAACAAATGGGCCAAAAACACCAGCCGGGCTGGATAAATGTCCTCGGGCTGCAGAGTCTAACGGCTGTGAAAGAGGCTGTAAGTGAACAACCTAGCCTGACACCCCAGTCATCTCAGGGAGGCCGGGATGCCTTTCTCTGGGAGAAAGGGGCCTTGGTGTTGGGTCCTGCTTGGGCTTCTGGAGGCCAGGGGGATGGTCGCTATGGAAACAGGGTGTAAGATGGGGCTATGTGTGTCCGGGACTGTGTCGGGAACTGTGAGATGGGGCTATGAGTGTCACGCAGGCAGTGGAGTTTTGAACCCCTAGCCTCCTCTCCCTGCCACCCCCCACCCCACCCCATCTTCATCTCCAGCCTGCAGTGGGGTGGTGCTAGGTGCTAGGTCAGCGGTTCTCAACCTGGGGGTCGCGACTCTTTGGGGGGGGGGTCGAACGACCCTTTCACAGGGGTCACCCGATTCATAACAGTAGCAAAATGACTGTGATGAAGTAGCAACGGAAATAATTTTATGGTTGGGGGTCACCACAACACGAGGAACTGTATGAAAGGGTCACGGCATTAGGAAGGTTGAGAACCACTCTGCTAGGGGATCAGCTCCCCCAGACCCCTGGACAGAGACTGGGAGTGTTCCACGTGAGGGGGCAATCTGGGCGCACAGTGAGTGCCTGGCCCAGGATAAGCTTTCAGTACTGTGGGAGGGGCTTGGAGGGAGATGCTGGCAGTAGCTTGCCTTCCACCTTGCCCCTGGGGGAAACCAGGCTGTGGAGGCACCTGCTGGATCTGCAACAAGTTGTTGGGGGGCGGTGGGTGCAGATGAGAACAGAGACAGACAGGGGCAGAAGAAAGGGTGCTGGCCCTCCAGGCATGGGACTGAGTTTGAGACCAACTCTTCCAGAGACTGGCAGTAGTAGGACTATCAACTCCCCTCTGGGGCCTCAGGGTTCTCCTCTGTCCTTGTTAGACTGGTCTCCCTCTTCCCGTGTGGCTCTGAGCACACAGAAGGAAGGAGAATCTGGCACACCTTGCCCAGACCCTTCCAGCCCAGGCAGGGGTCCAGCAGGGAGAGGTCGCCCTGGGCGCCTCCTGCACACAGGGCCACTCTTTGTCTCTGGGGCTTTATCACACTTGGGATCTGGAGAGGAAATTCAGGCAGCCTGGCTGCCAACCTGGTGGGGCTCAGGCTCCCTTCCACATTCGGGCCCAGTGCCCTCTGACAGCAAGGGCAGATTTGGCCAGGGAGATGCTTCTCTATCTCCCCTTCAGCATGAGCACAGTTGGTGCCAGGGAGGGTGGAAGACTCCTCCCTCTCCCGCAGTCCACTCTGGACCCCTGTAGAGGGCAAGGCTGGAAGTGTGGCCATAGTGAGGTTTAGGGAAACGGGTTTATTGTGACTTCACTGCAGAGAGGAAGGGAAAAAGAGGCCCTCACTGAATGCCCTGCGAGCAGGGCCTGATCCCAGTTGCCGGCTTGCCTCGTGGGTGCCCATGCCCAGGTACCTCCTCAGCTCTCCCAGACCTCTGTCTCTCCTGAAGCCCTTGGCAGGTGGAGGGCAGTTGCGGCTGTAACTCCCCACTGATGCAGCACAATACATGGAGGGGGTTGGGGGTGAGCAGGGCAGGGTGAGTAAGGCAGAAAGAATAAAGGAGCCCAGGTCACCGAGTGGTTATGCACTGGGTGGCTAACTCGAGGGTAACAGTTCCGAACCCCCAGCCGCGGCACTGGAGGAAGATGGGCTCTTCTGCTCCTGTGAAGAGTTCCAGTCTGGGAAACCCACCAGGCCAGTTCTACCGCCCTGCAGGGTCACTGTGAGTCTAGAAGAGGGGATCAACCCGTTGTCATTGAATGGGTTCCGACCTTGAAGAACACACAGGCTCCTTTGAGGGAAGGATGGCAAGGCTTCTTCTCACATACTTGGACATCTTTTCAGGAGAAAGCAGTCCCTGGAGATTTTGGCAAAGTGCAAAGGCAGTGAAAAAGAGGAAAGCCTTGGAGCATACCAGGAGGGGAAGGGGAAGATGTGGGGAGCAGTTAGAACCAGTCACAATGATCTACCTATAACCCCCTCCCAGGGGGATGGACAACAGAAAAGTGGGTGAAGGGAGACAACGATCAGTGTAAGACATGACAAAATAATAATAATTTCTAAAGTATCAAGGGTTCGTGAGGGAAGGAGGGTGGGGTTAGGGAGGGGATAAAAATGAGGAGCTGATACCTAGGGCTTAAGTAGAAAGAAAATGTTTTGAGAATGATGATGGCAACAAATGTACAAATGTGCTTGATACAATGGATGGATGGATGGGTTGTGGTAAGAGTTGTATGAGCCCCCAATAAAATTATTTTTAAAAGAAAAAAATCTCTTCCATTGATCTCATCAGAAAACTTCTATAAGTATTAATTCACTGTCAATCTTATGGTAGCGAAAAATAATTTTACAAAATTTTAATTTTCACTTGAAAGCTTAAGTTCTTATCACTGGCAACAAATACTGTCAGATGTTTCTCTCAAAGTGACAATCAAATGCTTTACTTATGGGTAAAAATGTCTGCAAAATACCCCATGTGAATAACCATAATTGTTTGTCATCCTTTTAAATAAAAATAGTACTCCATGAAAAAAGAAAATGATGATGCCAACATATGTACAAATGTGCTTGATACAATGGATGCATTATGATAAAAGCTGTAAGAGCCCCCAATAAAATGATTTTTAAAAAAACGATACTTTGGTTTCTCTTCAAATCGGATAAATCTTTCGCCTTTTACTAAAGATTTTCATAGAGGGAAACAAATATGAGTCTTTAAACCAATTTTTTGAGCTCTTGTGTAAACAAGGATAAAAAAGGAAAACGAGGAAGGCCTTCCATGAGACGGATGGACACGGCGGCCGCACCGATGGGCTCAGGCACAGGAACCATTGTGAGGATGGCGCAAGGCCGTGCACTGTCTCCTTCTGTAGTGCATAGGGTCGCTATGGGTCGGAACCGACTTGCTGGCATCCAAAAGCGGCGAATAAAAACTGCCCGTAGGGTTTCCAAGGCTGTCTTTAAGGAAGCAAACTGCCGTATCTTTCTCCCACGGCGCAGCCCTTCGTTTAGCAACCAAGCGTTTCACCCCAGCGCCAGCAGGGCGTTTTGGGGGAGCAGGATTCAGGAAAAGGATGCACAACGTTAGTAGTCTCGCCTGCCTCAAGCCTGCGGGCGTGGTCCCTAAGGGCGCAGCCTCAAGGCCCCGCCCCCCTCCCGCAGCCAATCACCGGCCGCCGCCTCGCGTCTGCACCCACTCAGCCCGTCGCTTTCCTGCCACCACCCCTTCCAAGGAGCGTGTCCTATTTGCAAAGGGATTCTCAGGAAGTCTGTCTTGGGGGGCGCGGTTGAGGACCAGGCGGAGCCTCTGGGGGCCGGAAAGTACTTTGAGATTGATCCTGAATTTAAGGACCAATCCGCAAACCATTTTGTAGTCCGGGAAACCCGAGGCCCAGCAGACAGGGGAAAGTCCCACCCAAGGTCACCCAGCGACCAGAGCCTGAGGCCGGGCCAGGGTTTGCTCTGCGGAGGGGGCCGTGCAGGTGCGCGACCTTGGCAGCCCAGCCCGTGCGAGAGACGGGACCGTAGCGCCGTCGAGGCTGAGCCTGGAAGCCGGGCTCCTCGCTGCCTGTGTCCCCAGCACCATCTCTGGTGGGGAGAGGAGACAGTCTGCGGAGGCTCCTTCCAGCCCTTTAAAATCCGGCCTTCCCGATCGAGCCTCTCGGCGTTCGATTGAAAAGATTCCGGGTTCTTGGCCTCTTCTCTAGAATGAACTGCTCAGCCTGTCACCAGACCTTTCCGGAGCTGCAAATGCGCGTGCGCAAGGGCAGCCAAACCGGAAGGCGGAAGAGCCGGGTGCTGACGGCGTTGGATGTCCGGGCGGAGAGGATGTTAGCCAATGACTTGATGGCGCAGGGAGGGCGGGATTAGGCCCGCAGCCACTAGACACTACTGAAGTGGAAGATGGGGTGAAGAGAAATTCAATGGCTCTTCGCGTCACCATCCTCCGGCTCCGCGGAAGTTAAGCAACGGAGAGGCGGGCCTAGGACCGGAAGCAGGAAGGAGGGCGCAGGAAGCTGGGCTCCGCCAGCCGTCTTGTGTCGGTCTGTGGTCTGTCAGTCTGGAGGGCAGCATGGAGAAGTTGCGGCTCCTGAGCCTCCGTTACCAGGAGTATGTGACTCGTCACCCTGCCGCCACGGCCCAGCTGGAGACGGCTGTGCGGGGCCTCAGTTACTTGCTGGCAGGTGCCACTCTGACCTTTGACCCATACCTTCAGGCCCCGACCCCCTCACCCCCCCACTGTCTTCCTCTGCAAAGTCGTAGTGGTGACGGCTGTACTTGGGAGGCTCTTTCTAGGATCCCGTCGGACGCTGGGAAGGGTCATCTGGGGACCTGAAGTCAACAGGGTAAGGCGCCCGCTCAACCACTTCTCCTTCGTGCCTTCTCCCCAGGTCGCTTCGCTGATTCTCATGAGCTGTCGGAGCTGGGTGAGCCGGCCCCTGGGGTGGGTGGAGTGGATCACTGACTTGGCTCGGGCCTGGGCTGTCGGTACTTCAGCCTGAATTGGACGAAGGTCCGCACCCCCTGCCCTGGGCCCTCGGTGTCTCCATGGTGGGGACTGGCCTGGGCACCTGGACTGAGTGGTCACCCCCAGCCGCACCTTCCTTGCCTTTACCCCGTTAATCTTCCCCAGTGTGCGCCGAGGTGGGTGCCGACCAGTGCGAGCAGAAGAGTGAGGTTGGGAACCAGCACTCCAACCCAGATCTCTCCAATTGCAGGAGCCCAGACCGTAAAGGCTGCCCTGTGTGTTTGCCCAGTGCGCCCTGGAAGTGAAGGCCCCCAGAGAATGAACTGGCTTTGAAAGAAGGGAGGGAGGGAATCTAATTTCAGGGACAGGGTCTGGGGGCAGCAAAGGCTAGGAGGTGCGGGCACCCAGTGGACAGTTCTGGGCCCTGAATGACCCGGAGGGCAGTAGCCAGCGCATCGCTGAGGTCCACTTGCTCCTGGCCCCGCCGCCCACGTGGGAGGGCTCCCAGGAGGCGGGTGGAGAGGCAGGTTGGTTTCCACATAGTCTGTGGGTGGCCAAGCACAGCAGGTGATAGGCGGGCGATTGCTGCAGCTCTGGCTTGAGGGTGACAGGGGAAGCCGCCGAGCCAGCAGCTCAGAGCCACGCTCCGCCCCTCAGTGTACTCCGCCTCCAACCTGCTCGTGCTGCTCAATGATGGCATCCTCCGGAAAGAGCTGCGGAAAAAGTTGCCAGTGGTGAGGACCCTGCCAGGGCCGCGCCCCCCACCCCCCCACCCCTCGGGGGGTGTGTCTTACAGAGGAGCATGCTGACCTGCAGCCCTGAGGGCCCCACACCGGCTCAGCTCATTGGGTGACACGTGGACAAGTGTCTTTGGGCTCGGTTTGAGTGAGGAGAGTGGGCTCCAGGCTACCAGCCTGGACTGGGTATTTGAACTTAGGCATGGGAAGAGGGACAGTCCAAGGGACAGTCCAGAGGAGCCCCCAAGGGGAAGAGCCTGGACCCTGGGGAGACCCTGAGCCCCTGGCATGGGGCCCTTGCAGTCGCTGTCCCAGCAGAAGCTGCTGACATGGCTGAGCGTGCTGGAGTGCGTGGAGGTGTTCATGGAGATGGGAGCCGCCAAGGTGTGGGGCGAAGTGGGCCGCTGGCTCGTCATCGCCCTCATCCAGCTGGCCAAGTATGTGGGGCTGGGGGCTGGGGGGGCAGTACTGGAGGGAGGAACCTGGTGTCCACTACAGCTGGTGCTCAGCAGGGTGCCCTGCCAACTCCCCACACTCCCTCCCCTAGGGCTGTGCTTCGGATGTTTCTGCTGATGTGGTTCAAGGCTGGCCTCCAGACCTCACCCCCCATCGTCCCTCTGGACAGGGATAGCCAGGCGCGGACCCAGGGTAAGCCTCTACTCTACTTGGGGGGCGGGTGTTGGTGTGGAGTTCTCGGTAGGCACACCGTGACTGGAGACCACCCTTCCCCCGTATTGTACAGAAAGGGACAACAGAGGTTAGGGTCGGAGCTGGACTTGGGATGTCAGAGGTAAGAGGTGGGTAGCAGGCAGAGCAGACAGAAGAGGGGGGCAGGAGAGGGGGGCCCAGTCAGTCTCCCTTCAAGCCATTGTACCTCTGGACCCTGCCCCCGCCCGGGGTGGATGCCATCTGCCCTCCTCCATTCCCTGGGGTGCACAGTCTCTGGCCAGTTCTGGGTGCTCATAGATGCTAGCTACCAAGGGCCGGACCAAGGAGGGCCAGGAGGGCTGCAGATCACTCCCCTGTGGACAGCCCTGTGCTGAGCCCTGCCAGCTGCCTTGTACAAGTTCTGCTCCAGCTGAGCCAGGGTAGCACATAGTACCCTGTGTTCTCTGCAGGCTCCCTGCGGTCATGTCCCTCTGACAGTGGCTTTTGTGTATCCTTGTTAGATGGCGAGCCCAGCCCTGACAGCCAGGAGCAGCCCTACGTGGGGAAGCGGTCTAGCCGAGTGGTGCGGACCCTCCAGAACAGTGAGTGCAGCCCAGCCTGGGATGAGGGATAGCTCCCCAGCCCTGCCAGACTCCGCTTCACACACAACTCTCCTCTCAGCCCCGTCCCTGCACTCCAGGCACTGGGGCGCCCCCCAGCAGCGGGAGAAGCAGCAGCTGCAGCAGCAGCAGGAGCTGAGCGCCTCGCCCACGCCCCTGGGGCTGCAGGAGACCCTGGCAGAGTCCCTGTACATTGCCCGGCCCCTGCTGCACTGTATCCTTGGCGCAGGCCTCCCTGGGGGTTGCAGGTGGGTGTTGGGCTGGGGAGGGGGCCAGCCACCGGGTGTGCTGGAGACTTCCTTGACGCCGTGGCCGTCAGTGCTCAGCCTGGGCCTCTGGGGCCAGCGCTCATGGGCGCCCTGGCTCCTGTCTGGTGCAGTGGACGTCACCAGGTGAGCCGGGCCATTCTCCCTCCTCTGCACCTCAAGGGCCCTTGTACCTGGCCTGTTATCTTGATTATGTCAAAGCCAAGGGTGATGTCATGCCCCTCCAGGGTTAGGACCCATAGATGGGGCTGGACTGGACCACCCTGGTCATCTCTACCCTGGGGAGCTTGGCTGGGGCTGGCCCTTGTCAGGTGGCTCCTGCTCTGACCACGTCTACCCCCACCTTCAGCCTGAGCCTCCTGAGCGACCGGAGGGGCCTGACACGGAGGGAGCGCCTGGAGCTGCGGCGGCGTACCATCCTGCTGCTCTATTATCTGCTGCGCTCGCCCTTCTACGACCGCTTCTCCGAGTGAGTGGGAGCGCCAGCCTTCCTGCCCCCCCCCCCAAAACATGCGCAGAGGGCTGCTGGACAGGCGTGGGCCCGCCCACAGGGAGGGGGTGGCGCTGGCCTTCTGCATCCCCTAGCCCCATCTCACCTCTGCCACCAACTAGTTTGACTTTGCCCCACTCTCAGAGGAGGCAGTTGAGGCGCAGAGAGGTCGGGCCCCTCACCAGAACCATTCATTAGGCCAGTGGCAGACCCACACCCCAAATCCATGTACTCACCGGCCTACCCTGGCTGTGCGGAGTCCCCCCTCCCTCAGCCTGACGTGAATGACCTTGAGGGGAGGAGGGTGCAGGTCTCCTGGGGGCCGTCCCAAGACCAGACATCCAGAGAGGGGGGCCTGCACAGTGGCTGGGGTTGTGAGACAAAACCCTTGCGTATAAGGAACTGGCCTGCTACCTGGAGATGCATTTACCCTGGTGGTGCTAACGACAAAGTCAGCAGTTTAAAATGCACAACCCCTCCTTGGAGAAAGATGAGCCTGCCTGCTCCCGTAGAGATGTGCAACCTCCGGGACCCTGTGTCAATCACTACAGACTGGCATCAACTCGATGACAGTGGGGAAACCATGGCTACCTGTGTTTTCTTCTGAAACCTGATTTACTATTGTCAGTGCTGTGGTGGCCATCAAATTGACTTGGCCTCACGGTGACCACCTGCAACAGTTGACTGTCCACATGGTTCCCCTTGGCTGACATCCTCACGGAAGCAGCTGCCAGGGCCTCCTCCCACCTAACAGCCGAGTTGCCTTGAACGCCCAACCTTCCATTAGCAGCAGAGCCCAGGACGCTCACATCTTGGACCCCTGCCAGACTGGGGCATCCCTCGGGGCAGTGTCCAGGCTGTGTAGCACTGCTCCTCCGGGCAGGCCCTGGGAAGGTGTGCTGCTGTGGTCCCAGCAAGAGAGGGAAGGCCACAGGGACATCTGAGGGGATGCCCTGAGAAGAGAAGCCCAGGCTGGGGCTGGGGTGGAGATGGGTGGCTGTTCTAGCCCACAGCCTCTAGTCAGTTGTCAGGGTCTCAGACCCACCAGCCCGGGATCCTTCCCCCAGGGCCAGGATCCTCTTCCTGCTCCAGCTGCTGGCAGATCACGTCCCTGGCATTGGCCTGGTCACGAGTAAGTGTGGGGCAGGCTGGGCAGTTCTTGTGGGGGGCGGGCCTGTCTTCCTGCCTTCTTGGGTGGGGTAGCAGTCCCTGGGCATGGACGGGGTGGGGGTGGGGTGCTCGAGGTAGGCTGCTGTGGTGGAAGGGATGGTCAAAGAATCATGTTCAAGCCTTCCCGCCCTGGTGTCCTAAGAAGCCGTGAGGCCATGGCTGTGGGTGATGGGTTGTCTGTCAGAAAAGGGCCTTCCAGTCTGCTCTGAGGACCCACAACATTGAGGGCACTGCCTGTAAATGGGGCGGAGGCCCCTACATAGGGGTGGTGGCTTGCAAGCACCTCCATGGAGCACCTTCCTGGGCGGGCAGTGCCGCAGCCCTGCATCCACTTTCTTCTCTCGTTGCAGGGCCGCTTATGGACTACTTACCCACCTGGCAGAAAATTTACTTCTACAACTGGGGCTAACAGATGCCCTGGGTGGGGCGTCGGGAGGGCAGGGTGGCATGGGCTGCTGTGGGCCAAGTGGCTCAACCCTTGGTCTCTCGGCCCCCCCTTCCCTAATAAAACTGACTCTGGCCATGCCCAAGCATGTGGCCTCTCTGTGCCCACGTGCAGGGCACTCAGCTCTGGCTGGCCTCTGTGGGCAGAGCCCTGGTCTCCACCAGCATATGCTCTCCAGCATGGTGTCCTGCAGCCCACAAGGCCACGGTGTCAAGGCCACAACAGGACTGGGAGCCGGGCTCCTTTAGCTGCCAGAAAGCGTTCAACACTCGGGACCCCACGGGCCTAGGGAGTGGAGCACTTGTCTCGGCAGCTGCAGGGCATACTGCGGCCTCCCTGGTTCCCTCCGCAAACCAACCAGCCTGTGCCTGGGCAGTGGGCTGACAGCACCCAGCGGTCTCCCGACCCCACTAGCCGCAGTCCAGACTGTTGTACCCGCCTGTTTATGCACTCACCAACCCACGTCCTGATGCCTGCATGGCCGCACCTCACCCTTAGGGCATAGCAGACTCTTCTCCCCTGAAAGGACAGCCCAGACCTGGGCCGATGGGAGGGACCAGAAGCCTGAGTGGCACTTGGGGAGAGCCAGTGAGGGCAGGCAAGGTGTGAGCTGGAGTCTCCCTCACCCTGCAGCTCCTTATTCATAGTGGGGTGGTCAACTCTGCCTTAAACCACAGGACAAGCTGTTGGGGAGGGGGAAGGCACCTAGACGGGGTCCCACTCACCTTCCCACACCGCCCCCACCCCCTCATGGAGCTTCTAACCAGAGGTGGGCAGGGCTTCAATCCTGAGGGCTGTGGAGAGCCACCCTCCGGGAGGAGGCCCTTGCCCTGACATTGCTGCCAATGAATGTGCTGGCCCTCAGGGCAGGACTGAGGAGGTGGGCACATGGCCTCTGGAACCAGACCCCCTCACTGGGTGCCGAATGCTGTCACTGATGAACGGAGGCGACACAGGTAGATGCCTGCCCTATGAGACTGAGTGACAGGCCACTACACAGTGCTGTCACCCAGGGTGTCGGGCAGATGAAGATGCTGTGGGGGGCGGGAGTGCCCCGTAGAATGAGTAGCTGACCTGGCTAGAGTTCTGGGGTGTGAAGCAGGGGAGGAGGGTGCGCTGGTAGGTGAAGCTGGCGGCTTGCACAATGGCACTGTGGGCAGACGTAGGCAATGGCAGCTAGGTGGGGAGAGGAGGTAGCTCAGGCAATGGGGTCCTCACTGGCTGTGGACTGAGGCAGTGGCTAGGGGAAGAGTCCAGGGCAAAGGGCTTGGGATGCAGCAGAGTGTGGGCGCCTGGTTTCTCTGCGGGGACGGGGGTCAGTGGGCTATGAGAAGTGGGTCCACAGGTTGGGAGGACAGGGCTGACCAGCTGGAGCCCGTCCAGGCATGTGAATGAGGCGGCAGACTTGAAAAGTAGGGACCTCCCCGGTGGAGGGCAGCGACACCACTGCCTATCTGAAGTTCTTGGGCCCAACCCTCGACTTCCAATCCCCTAAAGCCAGCGGCCAAACTTCAGGACTGATTCTGCATCATTGTACGTCAGACTGCATTTATTGAGCTCCTGCAAGGTATCCAATTCCAGGACTGTGCATGAACTGGGCCTTCAAGCTTCCGCCCCAGGGAGCAGGTCCAGGGCTGTGCCACCTGGAGGACCCTCTCTGACCCCCGGTGGTGGCAGGGAACTGTGGCAGCCCTGTTCCAGGCTGTTCTGAGCTGCATCGTGCAGAGAGGCCACCAGCAGGGTGGGAGGGGAGGCGTCTGCACAGCCTCTCTCCTGGTGGCATCAAGGGGTTAAATCGGGCACTATTCTTCAGTGGGCAGGCCCTGCCAGGGATCAAGGGGTGCCAGAGCCAGGACCGCAGGGGCAGGAAGGCTGCCTGCCGAGGGAACAGCCGGGCTGTCTCCAGGTAGAGGGATAGTGACGTGGGCTCCAGGCCTCCGGTGTGCCAGGTCTCGTTAGACACATGATGTGGGAGGCAGAGACCAGCCAAGGGCAGCACCCACCCAGACTGCCCACCTGCAAGGCCTGCCCTCGCTCCCAGGGCCATGGCGCTGGACAGGGTTTCCTTTGACCACTGCAGTCTCCAGTCGATGAGCACAACCCCTGGCCCCTCTCCAGTGTGGAGGCCTGCGGCCTAGCCCCTGAACCAGGGCCCTTTGTGAGGTGGCCCCGGGCAGCGGGTTCCATCTGCTCTGGGGGAGGGGCAGAGACCAACCAAGAACTCTGCAGCAAGATGGTTCTCGCCATGCTGGGGGCTCTGTCCCCCAGGGCCGGGCTGAGCCTCTTCCTCCTCTACCTCGTTCTGGCAGCTGCACTCCTTCGCCCCCAGCCTCCGAGGTAGCGTACACCGGGCTCCACGCCCACCTGGCGCCCTCTCTCGACAAGCCCCTGCCCCACAGGGAGGCCGCAAGGTGGCAGCGCGGGGAAGCTGCCTTGCCTTTGGGGACAGAGCTGAGCACCCCCAACACGTCCCACAGGTCTCAGCGCTCTGTGCCCGAGGAGTTTTCGGGCCCCCTGGAAGTCTCTGAGCCGATCTCGGGGCTGGTGGACGGTAGCCTCTCTTGCCATTTCCCCTCCCTGGGGGAGGGCCCGGGGCCCGCCCTGAGGGTCTCCTCTGCCCCAACAGCCCACTACACTCGGCGACCCTCTCTCCCTTCAGACTACGGGGTCCGACCCAAGCACCCCTGGCCTCGAGGACCACGGCCCCTCCTCTCCCGAGCCCAGCAGCGCAAGCGCGACGGGCCAGACATGGCGGAGTACTACTACGACGCCCACCTGTGACTGTGACCGCAGCTCCCTATAAAGCTATTTTGCGCAGCAGCAGCCTCGCTTCTTGGGTGCGCCTGCGCGAGGGAGAGAGGGGATCCCCGAGACACACCCACTGCGGTCTAGACAGGAATGGCACTTTAATCATGTGGCCAGGGTGACAGGGCCAAGCTGGGAGGCCCCCGCTGGGCCGGGCTACTCTTGCGCCCACCTCTCCCACCAGGCCCAGGCCCTGCGGCAGCCTCCCCACCCCGCTGAGGTCCTAGGCCTCCAGGGGCCAGCATGCTGGCGAGAATGGGGGGTGGGGGGTTGGGAACATCCCGGGACCACCGAGGGACAAAGCTGGGCACAGGGCCCTCACCTCCGCGGGGTGCCATCCCCTTCCTGCAGAGTCCGCAGGAGGTGGCCTGGCTCAGGGCTCTTCGGTTCGGGCGGGGGCGGGGTGGGCACTTGCAGGTGGATGGTCAAGGCAGGAGCCAGCAGTCCAGTCAGGGGGCCCAGGCACAGGCTGGTGCCCTCTGCTCTGGGCGTGAGTGGGCGTCCTTCCGGCCAGAGGCCTGGCTCCACCCCTCTGCCCCTCCCTGCCCTCTCCCAACCCAGGCCGTCAGCTCCGACCTCCACAGACGAATCTAACCCCGTATATTACAATAAACCATTTGCCTCTCCCTGTGACCCCCCTCCCCCACCCAGCGCCTCCCACCCCCACTCCTCTGGCAGGGGCAGGGGGCACCCTCCTCAGGAGGGCCAGCTCCCACGATCGGCCAGGGTCCTCTCCTGAGGCGCGTCGGGGCAGCTGCTACTCCAAGTAGATGTCCTCTGTGGGGCAGGTGTAGTCCACGAACTGCTTGTAGAACTGCTGGAAGGCCCTCCTGGAAGGCAGGAGACAGGGCGCGGTGAGCGGGAGGCGCCGGGGGCACCCGCAATGGGTACCCTCGAGGCCCTAGTCTCCCCACTGGGGCCGCTGGGCTCTGGGAAGTGGGTTTCCCGGGGCGGGGTTGGAGGGGTCCTCTGAAGGAAGAGTCCAGCGGCTAAGGCATCAGGAACCTCTCCGCCCATCTCCGAATGCCCCTGCCACCCTCCAGGCTGCTCCCACGCAGGGGCAGTTGGGAGGCCAGAGAGGCGGGGCAGGGCGTGAATGAGGCTGCACTCCGGGCCGGCCTGGCAGGGGACAGGCACGCGTACCCCACAGACTCAGCTAGGACTTTGGTGGACTCTTCAGACACAAAGACGTGGCAGGCGAACCGGTGGTCGGCGGGGTGCTTGGTGATGAACCCAAAGTACCTGTAGGAATGACGTGCGCGTGTGGGCGGGGTGACGTGGGGCAAAGGCCCGCCTGCCGCTCCAGGCACCTCGCCCCTTCCATTACCCTGGACCCGTCCCATCCCGCTCACTTGTTGTTCTTTGGATGGTATCCACAGAAAGAGATGTTTTTCAACTGGAAAAAGTGGCTACATTTATTCCCCTGCAGAAGTGAGAAGAAACGCCAAATGTGGTCTCCCTGCCTGTAGGGGAGCAGGCTGGGAGAAGAAGGGCCCCCTTTGGGACAAGCCTGGCAGGCTGCACGGGGAGCCGTGGAGCCAGGGCACAGGGCCGGCCAGTCACCTTGGCCTCCTGGGAGTCGTCGGCCTTGACGCCGATCTTCACGCCCCGCACACTGATCTCCAGGACGCAGCTGGAGGGCGGGTTAAAGTGCACGGTGAGCCGACGGGTGGTGGCGATCTGTGGGCATCCAGGCAGGAGGTTCGTCAGGCACATCCCTCTGCCAGAGGGTTGGGCCCAGGGGCCCCTCCATTCCCCCCAAGGTGAGATAGCAGGGGCTCCGGATACCTTTTGCATAGCGGCACAGAGGACATCGTTGCCCTTGTGATAGGGGACCTGGACCGAGCCCAGGAACTTCACCCAAAACTGGTCCATCCAGTCGCTGCTTTTGGCCAGGGCTGCAAGGCAAGAGAAGAGTGTGACAGCTGGCGGGGCAGGGGGTGGGGAAGGCCCAGCTGAGGACGAGGGTAAGGCATGTGGAGAGGCAGCCAGCAGGGGTGCCACAGGTCGGCCATGCTGTCACTGCCTTGCTGGGCTGGGCCTCACTTTGCTCCACTGGGAATGGGCGTGCGGGTAGACCCTACCTGCCATGTGCTCGGGCTCCTTGGCGACCTCGATGGCGTAGTAGGCGGGAAAGACGCCCCGCGCGCCTGTGCGCATGTTGTAGGCCTCGTACCAGTAGTCCTCGGCCTGCAGTGCCACCAGCAGCGGGTCGTCCACTTCCAGCTCCAGCTCGTCTTCGTGCCGCGGCACAAACCTGCGCCAACCAGGCACGTGAGGATGGCCTCCTCCCCATACATGCCCTGGGGCACCCACTGTGTGCCTGTGATCATACTGGCCTGCGGGGAACCAGGGCCAACCTGAACCACGTGCTGCTGGGAACTGGGAAAGAAGTGAACAGAGCCGCTCATAGCGCCCACTGGAGCAAGCACTACGGGGGGTGGAGGGGGGGAGCATGGGGTAGATTTCGGAGGTTTGGCCTGCGTTCCCCGTGCAACTGCGCCTGCTCAGGCTCACTTCCGAGGGTAGGCGGCAGCGGCCTTACCTGAAGATGGCTCTGTGTGTCTGCTCCTGCTCCTCGCCATTGATGGTGCAGGAGAACAGCCCGAAGGACTCTGCACCTGTGGGCAGGGCCGGGCCGGGCGCTGAGCCTCCGGCCTCCCCTGCTCGGGCACCCCCACCCCGGCCCCTGGGTCCCTGGCCCCACTCACTGGAGGAGCGAGAGCGGCCGCTCATGAAGACGTTCAGGAACTTCTTGGAGAAGTGCACGTCGGGCTCATCTGGCGTGGTGTCCTCGGAGAGGCAGGCGGGGGGCCGGGGCTGGGGGGCCTCCTCGTACTCCTCCCCAATGGCTGACTCGTAGGGCGAGGAGGCAGAGGCACAGTTGTCGTAGACGGTGGCCGAGTCGCTCTCGTCGCTGTAGTCCCCAAAGCAGGGCCGCAGGCTCACCAGCTCCAGCTGGGCGTGCTCGTCCACCACCAACGTGTACTTGACCGAGTCGTAGGATAGGGCGCTGGTGTCCGAGCTCAGGGAGGCCCGCGGGGGCGGCGGGGGCTCCCCCAGGCTGCTCCGCCATGCTCCGCCCGGGGGCTCGGCCCGCTCGGGCGACGACAGGCAGTCGAAGCCCTCATCCTCTTCGCTGATGGACGGGTGCGGCCGCCCCGCCACTGAGCAGTAGGTGGCTGGATCCGGGTCGGAGCTGACAGACATGCGGCTCTCAGCGGGCGGCAGGAAGGCGGGGGCGGGCTCCGCAGGCTCCGGGGGCCGCTGCACGGGTGTCAGGTAGATCTCCTCCGTGGCCTCCAGCCGCACATCCGCCTGGTAGTGGATGCGGTCTCGATGCGAGTGGCCCCGG